TGGTCAGCTGCTCTTCATAGCTAGATCCCACCATTGGAGATGTGACCCGGTTTATCCTACACATATGACAAACGAAAACTTCAATTATACTCGATGAATAACATTAAAACTATACACATATTGAGAAAAACCTCATTAAAACTATACACATTCGCCTAATATTTCAGGGCAACTATAGAACTTCCTGCCAAACGTCTCTGGAGCTGTAGACTCTTCCAATCTACATCGAAGGCCGCAATAGCATCGTTCAGGTATCCCAAAGTCTCCATCAGCTTTGGCACACCCGCTGTCATAACTTGCTTTGGAAGATGAGTTGTTGGTGTAGCTTATCGGCATTACTATGTAGAGATCAAGCAAACAAACTTGGAAGTTAACAAACAAAAAAGTAAAACAGATACGACCACATAATAACTTTGCAGCTAAAAACAAAACAACAAAAACAAGCTTTCCAAACAAATATTTCTTACTCGCTAAACAACAAAATAACAAAAAAGGTAAATCTTGAAATAAAGAAAAAATCGAAATATTTTTACTTACTTGCTCACGGAATCTGTGAAAAAAGTATTTTTACTTAGATCTGTTAAAAAAACAGTAAAGCAAAAGGACAAAAAAAACAAAAGAACAATTTTAAAGGACAAACCAGTAAACAATAAGATACGGACTAAACAGAGAATGTAATGGCGAATAACTCACAGATCTGGAGAGATAACTAAGAACGATGAAGACGCCGGCTGAGATCTGCAGCAACAACATATGTAGTGATATATATGAAACAACATATGCATCAGAAACAGAAAAGAAGAGATGGGGAGCGCCGGGAAAGGCTTACTGCGAGAGAGAGTCGCGGCGAGAGAGACCAGAGTGCAGCGCCGTTTTACAGTGATTTAGGTTTTTTTATTTATGGTAACGACTGGTAAGTTTCTTTATATATATGTTAAAAATTCCGGTTAGGTTAATTATTCTGGTTTGACTAGACTTCGATCCGTAGTCTGCTGAGCAGACTGATAAAGAAGTCTGCAGCCATAGTTTAAAACTTTCCACTTTTTATGTTTATCCTAGATGGTTAAAAATGATTCATATTTATTAAATTATAATTTTTATAGATCATACTTGTTGACATTTGATTTATAGAAACAAACTTCAGTTTACATTATTTTTATATAATTTTCAAATTTAAAAATAAGATTTAATAATATAGCAGACTTCTTTATCAGTCTGCTCAGCAGACTGATAAAGAAGTCTGCAGTCCTAGTTTAAAACTTTTCACTTTTTATGTTTAACTTAGATGGTTAAAAATGATTCATATTTATTAAATTATAATTTTTATAGATCATACTAGTTGACATTTGATTTATGGAAACAAACTTCAGTTTATATTATTTTTATATAATTTTTAAATTTAAAAATAATATTTAATATTATAGTAGACTTCTTTCTCAGTCTGCTGAGCAGACTTCATTAGTATTTGCAGACTTCGAAGGGTTATAACCGTAATTGAGACATCCGTTTTATTGTTTACTCATATAGGAGATAATGATAATTTCTCTACCCCTCTGACCTATTTTTGCAATAGGTTGAATTTGGGGTATACTTTTGCATTTGGAATCAAATTGTGGCCTATTTTTAGCAATTCCCCCCAAAGAAAATGAACATTTTTTTCATTAACTGATTGATATTAATTGATATTTATTGTAGTTTTTATATAATTCTCATTTTGTATGATATTGTATTTTAAATAAATTTCTAAGATTTTTTGATAAAATTTCTAAAATGTTTATAATAACATACTAACACATATGACAAATAATAATTATATTTGCTTTTATATTTATGATATTACATTTAAAATTAATTTTAAAGATTAATTTTTAATATATAAAATTTTTAAAATTGTTTATAATAACATACTAACATACATAACAAACACATAGCAAATAATGATATTTGTTTTTATATAAAATTTAAAATAGTTTTAAAAAACCTGTACGTTACGTGCGGGCATTCACCTAGTATAAAATAAAACAACGTGACCCCAAAAAAAAATCATACCATTACTAAAAGAAAAGTCGGAACAATTGGCTGGGCGCCCTAAATGTTCAATGTTGAGTGTTAGGCCTGAGAATTTTAACCTAACCGAACAAACCAAATCAGCCCTAAACCAAAATTTTGGTTTTTAGTTTTCGCTCGGTTTGGAGGTCCGAGCCAATCTGAAGCTTTCAAAAGTAGGATCGATTATCAGTTCAGTTCGGTTCAGTCCGGTTCTTTGTTTTTAATTTTTTTAAAACTATAAAAACAAGGCTCTGATTGATAACCTGCGGAATTGCGGAATTGCGTTTAAACACAATTCCGCAGGTTTTTTGCCAATCAACAAAAATTCGTGGAATGAAAAAAAAACTCACAAAAATGCTTAATGAAAATACAAAGAAAAAATCATTTCGCAGAAAAACGACTTATAAATAGTTTAATCTATTCCGCAAGATTTTTTCCGCTATTCCGCAAGATTTTTTTCGCTATTCCGCCATTCCGCAAGTTTACCGATCAAAGCCTAAATTTGCAAACCGAATGTAACCTAAAATTACCTGATTTTAATCGAATGGCAACACAAAAACTAAAACAATTGGTTAGTTTCAGTAAAACTTAAAATACCTGAACTAACCGATACCCAAACCTAACTAACCAAAATATCAAAAAGTCAAACCGGTTTGATTGGGTTAATCGAATTCCGGGGCCTAGTCTAGTTGAGTGAGCAAGGGTTAATAATTTGTCTTTGATATTGAACAAAATCCAATTAACTCAAAGTTTCAAACTCCTGTTTTTGTCTATAATCTTTTGGGAGAAAATGAACACAGATGGATCTTCTTTTGGTTCAAAATAATTGGAGATGGCTACTTTTTGGATCACATGTTTAAAAACCAAAATTTAGAATTTTAAATATTAAGAATCGAACGGGGGTAAAATTATGAACTTTAAAACTCTGCTAAAGTCATTGTACCTAAAAATAAAATAAAACGCATGAATCATTTCGAAATTTTGAACTTGATAACAACGACTTTAGAATATTACCAAAACAATATTCTAAAGCGGTCAAATGATGATTCAAGAAGTAACAACACAACAGTTTTACAAATCCAACAAGAGAGTATGATTTTATGAACATAAAACATCAAAAGTTTATTCAGCCAAAACATTATTCAACATCTGATTTCAACAGACAAGGCTAACACAGTAGACAGAAGAGTACTTACTTAGCCCAGACTTAGAGCGGCGTCAAACCAACCACACCTGCGTTAGAACCAACTTAACTCATGAGGATACCGAAACAAAAGAGTCCAAAACTGCGTTTAAATGTTAAAAATTTGTGCTTTCTTCATTTTTCAGATGAAACCACAATTGTTTAGTATTATCGAACAAAATTCTTTGTTTATTGTAAACGCAAACTGAAAAAACTGAAAATGTTTTTTGTTTTGAAAATGTGAACTATGTTCTGAAAGTTTCTTGCACACAAAAAACGCTTGAAGCTGCGTTCTTGCAAATGCAAAGCGCTAGAAACAATCGCAGCCTAAAGTCATAAGGACCGGAAGTTTAAACCATACCGCAAGCCAATCTCCCGCCTGCGTTTCCTGTGGTCAGACTAAGCTCATGCCCACCTACATTTGTCAAAGCAACCAGATCACAACTTGGCTTAAGCTTTGGAAAGAGCCATCCTTTTTCACATAGAAGTCAATGAAATTATGAATACAAAATCCAAAGAGCAGGGAAAACTCAACAGGCTACAAGAAGTGTGCAACCAATGACAATAGGTGTATCGAGAATCGGAAGTAAAGTATAATAGTTTACCCTTTCCGAGGTCATCCTTAAGCTCGTGAACCACAAAGGCTCTTCCAACAACAGAGTTAGGACCAGTCAGAGGAATCTGCACAGTTTGATCTCACAGTAAACAAAAGCAAAAGCTTCTTATAAGAGAGCATATGATAAACAAAATACTTAAAAAACTGCAAACCTGATTGTCCACAATTGTTGTTTCTGCCACGCCTGTTGTTACAATAAAAAACAGTACTTAGTTCAAACAGTTTTTGAGTATCGAAGATGGATTGGGAAAACTTGAGTGGTGGATGTAATGTAATACCATCAGCGTTGGCAATTATGTTTCCCAGGTCACCCGCATGACGGATCTCGTCTTCAGGAGCTCCGTGTGTCATGTTGTTAGGGTTGAAATGTGGTCCTATAAGACAAGATCTCGTTTTAGAGAATCATCAACATACAAAAGTCACAGTATCAGTATATGAAACGAATCGCCATTGTTGTATCAGTAAGTAAGAACCTGTTGAGATGCAACCATTTGTTGTATCACCAAACTCATGCTGCAAAAAAAGCAAACAGAAGACAGAAGATTACAGCAACTATAGCTCAAATGAATCCAACCATATAAGAAGAAGAAGAAGACATGATTCAAAGTTTCTTACGAGGTGAAATCCATGAGGCCCTGGAGCTAGCCCGGTGATACGAACATTCACAGTTGTAGGACCTGCTTGCCATTAACAATACCATTCAATTCAGCTTCAAAGAAACCAAAATTGATTCAAAGGTATACACAAATAGATTCAAAGCATTAGGTTTCTACAACCATTCTAAAGCCAATCATTATTAAATATGTGCAATCATCAAAACTGATTCAAGGATATAGACAAAGAGAACAATCCTCTTACAGCTATTTAGCTTAGTCACAGTGGTATCCCTCAAGAAATGTTCAAATCTAATCACACAAGCATTTCAAAGGATTATGTTTTTATAAACATTCTAAAGCCAATCACTGATTGTATATACAATCTCAAACGAAACTGCAAAACCTTTTGGTGAGATTGTGAATCGCATACTAACAGTGACCTAATTACGGAAACGAATTCTGAAAAATGCGAATCAAAATCAAACAAAATAGGAATCAATACGAGCTTAATTGAGAGTAACCGATAAGGAATCAGAATATGCGGGAGGAGAGGGAATAAGAAGGGACCTGTGTCTTCGTCTTGTGTCAAAGTAACAACTCCTTCGACATCGGAGGTTCCTTTGAGCACCGCAACAGCTTTCTTCGCGGCGGAAACAACCGTCAACGCTTTCTTCGACGGAGCTCTGGCGGATAAGGAAACAACGGATTGGGGACGGTGGAGGTTGAGAGAGACTCCGCGGAAAGAGGAACGGAGAGTGGAGGAAGAAGAAGAAGAAGAGAGGAGTGGGGAAGTTGGATTGGATGAAGGAGAAATGAGGAGGCGAGAAGTCGATGAGAAGGAGAGGATGGTGTGAGCAGCCATTGCTGCTTTTGTGTAATTTGCTTTTTGACGTTTGGAGGAAGCTAATGGGCAAACGAACGATGCTGATGATGATGAGGTTTTATTATTTGTGTGCCTTATTATTTTTATTTTCTCATTACGGCCCACACAAAATTGTTTTTTAGTGCATCTTATTATTTTTTTGATTTTCTCATTACGGCCCACACCAAATTGTTTTTGTGTGTATTTTTACCGTTTTTCTAGCGGTGAGAAACAATGATAAACGATTGACACAAACTGTTTATGTTGATGGTTGGACTTGGAACGGTGATGCAGATAAAAAAATTCAGATCAAGATCAAATGCAAATCATACATATTATGTAGAACAAATACAAATCATATAAATTTAATAATTTAGAATATTTAATTGAATAATATAAAAGTAAAAAAAACGCACAAATAAAAAAATACAAAATACATTATCAAACAAAAAAATTAAAACAAAACTAATATGAAGTATTTTGATATTTCCATAGCAAATTTGCAATATTTTTTCTGATGTATGACATAATATTCTCTTCTTTTGCAGCTTCCATATCATTTTCTTCAGTTTTAATGTTGTTAATCCGTCTACGTCTCATTATTTTGGCAAAATCTTCATTCGAAACGTTTGAGATTCTAGTAAAATTATGTAATCCTATTGTAGTCACTAGGTTTCGAGCCCCCGCAAAATTGCAGGGGAAATAAGGTATATTAAACTCTTAATTAATATTTATAAGTAAACTTACATAAAACAAAAGATGATGATACTTAGATGTAAATATCCAATTATTTAGAAAAATAACTACTATTGTAAAAAATAAATAGATATAACTTTCTACAATATAAAAAAACAAAGACGAACGAAACCGTACAAAGTAATTAACACACATTTCTATTTGATTTCATAGTTTTAACCGAACCGTACAAAGTAATTAACACACATTACTAACTACATCTGTTTTAGTACTTTTAACCAAACCCAAGCATTACAATTGGGACATTGCATGTTATTTGGTTTCTTTTTTCGTGTCTTCATCATTTTCCTTTAAATTTTTAACATTATTAGTTCTGGTATATTAAAAAAACAGTTATGATATTATGACTAGCAATAGAAATACTCACTATTCCAAATTTTTTGGGATAATACTATTATTTGATATTGGTTGAAAATCACCATCTATTCAAAATTGAATTTTTAGTTAATATATTTAAATTAACATTCCAAAATATATATATAATTGAAGTGACATATTGTTAATCGAATATTGGTATTGGGAAAAAATTTATAATTCTATTGAATATCCAGTATTCATTATTTTTTATACTTTCCTGTAAGCAAAATATTCTTAAAAATATATTATATCAATTTCATATTAAACTTGTATATCTTAAAATGGAGGATAACACAATAACAATTTAAACATTATCAGCCAAGTTTTAAAAACATCTTACATGAGTAAATTTTAAAAAATGAAAAAACCAATACATAATTACTAAATTTGATCATATTATTGAATAAATAATACTTACTTTTTTAACAATAGTGAACTCGTAGATCTTATACCAATAGTATTAGAAAAACTTGTAATTGTAACAGATACTTTAACTTTATGGCATTTAACATGTGATTCGTATGCTTGATAAATAGAATGTTTACTATCTCTAAATAAAAATAAAAACAAAGTGTCTTATTGTTATATATATATATATTATATATATATATAATTTGGTAGAAAGTTGTATCTTTTTAATGAAAAAGTTGTGTTTCTTCAATAAGTAATTGTGTTTTTATTTTGAAAAGATGCAATGCTTCAATATTGAAAAATAATTTGTTTAAATTTTGAACAGTTGCAATGGTTTAATAACCATTAACTTAAGAAGTGCAATGGTTGGTTAATTAACCCTAAATTCAATAGTTGCAGTAGTTGATAAAATGACTATAATCTTTAGAATTGCAATGTTTAGTAAAATAACGATAAACTCAATAGTTGCAATGGTTCACCAAAATAACTATAACACTTAAATCTCCAATATTCATTTCCTATTAAAATGTAATCATAGATTCACTAAATAAACAACACATATACAAATAAAAAACCAAAAGACATAATCATCCAATAGCTAGCAGAGTAGCAGTTATATACAAAAAATATAATTAAAAATATATTTAATGGAAAACACAATGATTCATTCGTAGTTTTTCACAGAAATGTATAATTTATCGAAAAACATAAATTTATAATAATAATAACCTTTCATATTAATAACTGTTATACACAAAAGGGTACAATTCATTTAAAATAATAATAATAAAAACAAAGATAAAATGGTTCATTCATAGTTTTTCATATCGTTATTTTTGTCATAGATTTAGGTTTTTTTGGTTCTTCCTAGCATTTTCTTTTGTCTTGAAACTTATTTGAGATTTTTCGTTTTCTTATTTTTAAAACTATAATCTTCATCACTTTCACATAAATTGGCTTCTTATTTTTTTTCTTTTTTCACTTTACATCCAAATCTATTAGTTGTATTATCTACTTTAGAAAGTGCATTTTTAATCTCCATTATAGTTTGGTATATCATGTATCCTATGTCAAATAAATTATATAACTATTATAGTATAACCAAAAATAGTGCTACATGATAAATCAAATTTAAAATTAGATTTTAAAATATAACTTATAAATTCATAGGGAAAAAAATTATGTTACATTCTAAGATTAGTGATAACCTTGCCAAAAGTATTTTATTCCAAAAATATTTTTCCATTTATTCCATTTTTTGAATTTTTTCCAAAAATATTTTTTTGGATATTGAGCGGATGTTAGACCTTCTTATTCAAGTTCTTCTTTATTCATGACTGAATAGAATTAAATAAAAAATAGAACTAAACACTCATAGGAAAAAAAATTATTTTGTCTTTTAAGATTAGTAAGATAATTGCCAAGAGAATTACCATTTTTAGTCCAAATTATTTGGTTTTCGTTCCAAAAAATATTTTCTTGGAGAATGAGCAGGTCTTTCACGCTCTACTTCAAGTTTCTCTTTATTCATGGCTAACCATCTACTTAAAAAAAAATAAAAAAAATCTAACACTATTTTGGTAACAATTGCTTGCAAATGAACAATGTTTTTCTCAAAGAATTCTAAGTTAATTTGAAGATTTTCAACAAAAAATTGATGTGTAAGGTGTTGTTTTTCAAAATTATAGAATATTATTAAAAAAATCAATAAAAGAAATAATAAAAAATGAAACAAAATATATACAATCTTGAAAAGACATAAACATTAAGACAATAAACTTTTGATAATCGGCGTTTATGTCCGAAATGGTATAATTAATAAAATAAAATAAAAAGATACAACTGTAGAATTGTAACCATTGTATAAATTAGCAATTACACACGAAAATATATAATTAATTAAAAAAAAAAAAAAACAGAAATACACAATGTCCACTCAAATTTTTGATTTTATAGAATTCTAAATTGTACAAATGAAAAGTTGCAATAGTTGAGATCTTCAAAACTGAATTTATTTTACTATAAAGAGGGAAGATAAATTCCGAGTTCGCCTTAGGATTTTCTCCCAGGCACATCTCCCGAGATGCCGCCTCTTCTGTTTAGCTTCTTCGATATGGACTCTCGCCTCCAGATCTCCACCGCTCTCTCCGCCGTTCACCTCTGAAGACCTGGGCGTATCCTCCTCCTTCGCTTCCTGATCTCATCGGCGATGCTTTTCTCTTCACCTCCGTGTCCTCCGTTTGCTCCGTCACTCTCTCCGGCGATGATTCACGGCTTGGTTGGTGCTCCTCAACTCTCCCTTTTTGACCGCTTCTCTCCTGCTCGTACCCAGCCTCCGCCGGAACCCTCTCCTCCGACGGATCCTCTGCCTCGATCTCTGGTGTAGATCTCCGTCGTTGTTTGCTCCCACATGCTATCCTCCGCTAGATCTGGACGTTCATTGTCGGCAAGTCTTTGTCTCCTCTCCGCAGCTGGGTTTAGAGATCTAGAAGCTCGCCTCAGTCTGACCTCTGCCATGACGGCATCCTTGAGAGCATTTCACTTTTTTACTAAGGGTTCTATCAACGCTCCTCTCCCAATCCCCCAGGTTTGTCTTTACTCGCTCTCCGTTTCTTCTTCTTTTGAAAGAAATCGGTTTATTGTCGAGGAGATGAATTTGATCTTGTGGAATCCTGGTGTAGTTAGTTATGATCTGATGGCTGTAGTTCCCATCATTCACACATTTGTGGCTTTTACCGGCATCCATGTCGTATTGTTTGTTCGACAGGAAGGTATTCTGTGTAAATCCAAATCATTTCTGTTTGTGGTGTCCATACTTTTTCCTGAATCAATCACAAATGATATATTCCAAATTGAGGATTATATGAGTAAATCCAAGGCGTTATCGCATATGGTGTCTATATCCCAAGTCTTTGAATTCGTCATTTTCCTTTTAGTGGCAGAAGGGATGACAATATGTGAAGATCTTCTTCAAACTATCTCTGAAGTAATAAGGACAATCTCGGTAAAATCCGACTCCTTACATCTGCTCAAGCCATCATCTCAGGCTTTTGTGTTTTCGAGCTTCATGGTATTCTCGAGGATCTCACTCCTCAACAAAAGATTTGACTTCACCTCTATCAAGTTTATTAAAAGTTTATCTAATGTATTCGCTGCTTCCTTCGAGAAAAAACTCTTTGTATGCGGTTCACGCATTTTCAGTTTAATTAATGGAAGTAACTAGTTGCACACACACAAAAAAAAAACCATAAACTCAACAGTTGCAGTGGTTGGTAAAATAACCATAATCTCTAGAATTGCAATGTTTAGAGAAATAAACCATAAACTCAATAGTTGCAATAGTTCACTAAAAAAATGGTAACAGTTAAATCTCCAACATTCATTACCCATTAAAATGTAATCATAGATTTCTTAAATAAACAACACATATACTGATAACAAACGAGAAGACACAACCATACAATAGCAATCGTTTATAAAATAAGCAGTCATACACGAAAAGATACAATTTAAAAAATATTTAATGAAAATACACAATGGATCAT